TTTGATGTTTGTATGCACATGTCGTCTCCTCTCTGTCCTCCTGTCTTTATTTCCATTCTTAATGTTTCTCTCAATTGTATTGTGTCCCCTGTCCCCTCTGATTCCTCCTCTTTATTCTAATCCACCCCCCCCCCCCTTTACACTCTCTCTCCACAGCTTTCTGCTGCCACGAGTCCGGAGCCACCGTGCTCTCGATGGCCTCCAGGCAGCAGCTGCTCATCACAGGTGGGAGGAAGGGCTGGATCAGCGTGCTGGAGCTGGCCCACAGGCACCAGCGTCAGAGCTTCCAGGCCCACGACTCGCCTGTCAAGGCGCTGGCTGTCGACCCGACTGAGGACTGCTTCATCAGCGGATCAGCTGAGGGCAACATTAAGGTATTTTGACTGGTTAATTAAAGCAATTGAATACATTTCTATTGAATAAATATGACACTTTGACGGTGAGGGAGTTTCAGTTCAGTTATTTTAATTGAATATAAGAAAGGTTATTAGCGTTTGCTGATGGCTCTCAAGGTCCGGTTTAAGTGGGTCGACACGGGGAAAGGCAGAGGTCGGCAGAGGTCGGCATTTTGACTGAACAGGCAGGAGATGTTTCCCGTCTTCAGCCAGTACATTTGCAGGTCCTTTATCTTTTTTTAACTTAAATAACGATCACACTGCTGCGTCACTCCAAGGATGAAGCCACTGCGTCACGCAGACGTGCAGGAAATGGTGCAGTGCACGTCTGCTGGAAAGAATGACTTTTCATTCCTGCTCAGAAAATCCTCCAAAGCCATTAACTGTGTTTGGGCTGATTGAAAAATGTAACATGGCTGAGCTGCACATTTATAAGCTTTTAAAGGGTTTGATGAGAAGCCTTGGAAGTGGAAGATTAGCTAATATGAAACACTTTATCAAACAATAAAGCTTCCAGGATGGGAATACGAATCAAACAATGAGAGTTGCTCCGAGCTCATCGTGGTTCAGTGAAGAATGTCGCAAAATCGTTGAAAACGCGTCACAAATTTTAAGGCTAAACAGGAGTTCCGAAAACAAACATCGCAGAACTTTATAAGAAGCTTATTTTTTTTTTTACGAAGAAATAATGTTTCCTGCATAACCTCAAGGGAGCGGTCACAGACTCCTTGCTAATAATACAGAATATCACCCGACTGCTTCTTTCAGACGCTGCTCTGTTAGGCAGCATCTCTGTGCTCACTCTTCTCTTCCTCCCTGTGCTCAGATCTGGAGCCTGGCCACACAGTGTCCGCTCTACATCTTCCCGAACGAACACGCTCGCCAGTCGCTGTTTAGGAACCTCGGCACGGGCGTCATGCAGATTGAGGTCGGGCCGACCAATCACATCTTCTCCTGCGGCGCCGACGGGACCATGAAGATGAGGGTCCTGCCCAACCGCTTCAGTGTCATCAACAACAACAACAACAACCACCACGGCAACCTCAAGAACGACGTCAAGTTCATCATTTAGAAGAAGGTGGTCAAAGCATTTTGTTAGAATAATGTGAAGTTGCCAGCAACAAAAAAAGCTTAATGACAGGAACAGTTGCCGTCATGCCGTGACAGAACAATAGCCGCTCGTGTTAACCGTGTAAATGAAGAATGGATTTACAGACTTGTGAGTCGTCTGGCCCAAGAGTGGATTGATCCGATCCGCCGCTCTTTGTGCGGGACATGAACTCGAGCCGACCGCCTGCAGGCGCCTCTGCGAGTGTTTTAAACTGTAGCGGAAGTTAAAGTGGGCAAAAGGGTTTCGACCAAGGCTGCCGTCACTCAGAGGAAACCCAACGAGAGACACACAGGCAGCTGCAGATTCTCCCAAACAACCTGCCGCCTCAGTGAGGACCGAACAGCACATGCAGTCTTTTTTTGCACAGGAAGTGAAGTTGTAGAAGGAGCAGGAGTGACAAAGAGACTGTGAAGAGTCTAAAGCTGCAGCGTTGTGTCACTATATCTCTTATAAATCAGTCACGATGGTGGAAGCTGGAGTCGCTGCTGCAGCGTTAAGGTGATAGAGTACAGTAGACTGTGTATCAATCTAGGACGCTAAGTGAGTCCTTTAGGGGTTTCAGCACACTGCAGTAAGGCCAGCGGGCCTCGTATGAAGCACATTATATCCGGTCACAAGGATCCCCAGCGTTTGATTTTAACACAAATGAGCCAGCTTGGTTGGAAAAGTGGAGGACGATCAAACCAACACTTTAGGAATTACAGGATGTCAATTTCCCGTCACTATTATCGTTTCACTTTTTAAATTTAGGGCGTTTGGCTTCTCCAGCCTGACTTGAAAGAACACAGGAATCAGAGTTTTATAAATAAACACTTCTCTCTAAAGACTAAAACTATGCAAACTCACTTTCTGCCAGAGGGATGACGCTAGATGAGAAAACCGACGACGTGCGAGAGATTATCGATCTCGTCATCTAGCGTCAACTCTCCGCCAGAAAGAGAATACGCATATTTCCCTAAATGTAGAGAAATGGGACCTTTTCTTTTTTTCTTTTTTTTACTTGAATGCAACATTTCTCTTACTTCATTTGCACATACACATGAAGCTAAATTATATATGGTGGGATGTGTATATAACTATACGAGGCTGGATGTCAGTCCAAGGCTTTGGTATGAAGGTTCAGATACATGTACAGTACGATATTTGTTTATCCCGGCCTAGATTAAACCAGTGGTATATATTTATTATTATAAGTGTCCTTAATCTCTGGAAACTACTTCTACCATGCTGGCACAGTACTACAGTACTGTTGGTCCTGATCATATTAGTTATGAAGTTAAATTAAAGCTACTTTGTGTATGGGACACCACCAATAATCACTTTTCTGGCTGTGTGTTTTTTCTTTTTCTTTTTTTAAATGTTGAATATTGAGCTTGAGACCATGCAGCAGGAAGCTTTGCGGTTAACAATGGAAAGGCTTTGAAGTGGGACACTGAAACACATTTTAATCAATATACTATTGTGTTGTGGAAACGTTTTATTCCAATAACAATGCGCTTCCCTTCCAGTGACTCCAAAACTTTAATTTCCCATATGGACATGATTGAAAACTGCCTTTGGAAACAGTATTGTTTGCCTTCATTGTATTAGCAGTCTTTATCTGGCTTGATGTTATTTCACTTTAGCTTAATTATAGGAATTAATTTACCTTCACTTTTGTTTGTTTTTTATCCAAATGCAGCACATTGCCTTCATTACATGCTTGGGAAACGTGATCTAGGTTTGAGTGTAGTATGACGTCTTCCACATAAGAGGAAGAGGCTCCTGCAGACTGTCCTGAAGCCATTTAGTCTGAAGGAATATAACCGCTCAGCTGTCTCCCCACAGCGCCTTGTGCTGCTGTAGGGAAACAAATGTACATCCGCTTTGATTTCAGGATAAACTGAGGAACCGTTTTAGATGAAGCAGATTTATTACGCTTATGTACATACATAGATCCATAAACTAGGCTTCTCATAACGAGTCGTAGATATTACAAAGGCCACTTTATGAAGAATAGTATTCTGTACAAATGCAGGTATATTTATGAAACGTGTTCATATTTAGGGTTACAGACTGAGTGAGCAAAAGGCAGATGTAATGTTATTTCCTGCTTTCTCTCTTAATAGGTCACCATTTCTTTGTCTTATTTCCTGATGTGGTATTGATCAATAACATTGCAATGTTCTTCTTTTCCCCACAAATGAAAGTGGTAAATGATGTGTACTCCTGTAGCAACTGGAGATTAAGTACTTTTTATCGAAGCGAAACTATATGTACTCCTACCAAAACTGTAGAATAAAAATATTTTTTATCAAAGCGGGTGCTTTTTATTTTTTCTTTGCCAAAATACGGCTTGTTTTCATTTAGTCTTCACGAACAGATCATCTAGATCAGTGTGGCAGTGAGCAGCAGGTGCATGAGTAGATACATCTCACTCACTCGGCTTAATCAAATACACAAATTCAACTTCTTTCTTTGACTTCTTCCCTTTACCCTCAATCTTGCAAATGTGAATTTGATCAGATAACTAATTTCATAAAGACCATGTAAATCGATGTATTATATACAGAAAATGTACCGGTGCAATAAAAAAAAATTATGTAACGAGCAGATTTTTTTGTAATTTTGGCCGTCGATTATATTAGTGATGAACAAACGTCTCACACGAGGAGCGACAAAATGTAAACTTAAGTAATCCGTTTGTCTGGATTACTTTACTTCCATTAAACCAAACAACTATTAAGCTTCAGTATAATTACACTGATATAGAAACATGAAGTGTAATTCATTATTTTCATAGCTAGGAAACTTCACATTTTGTGACATAACTATACTATGACTTTTATAATTTTCTTCAGCATACTGTGACTTTTATGAATAATACAAAAGTCATAGTATACTCAGTCATAAAAAAGTCAATAAATCCCCTGGGACTCGAGAATGAATTTATTCGATTTTGGTGGTCACGGTAACAGTTACCGTCTGTCCCATTCTTGTGATATCTAACAAAGTTGTGAACACATTGACATGTCTGCTTTAAAGCTTGCTTTGCAAACTGTTTAAGTGAAGGACGACAGCCTAATCCACCAATGGGCAAAGAGATGGAGCGTGGATGTAGCCGAGGTGGGCCGAATGAAGCCTGGTTGCTGAAACACGCCCCACTACTGCAAAGCCAAAGAGCTGCAGATTCAGGTGATCATTCTGTCTGTTCATCAATACGAGTGACCCCTTTTATAGTCATTTGATACATAATTGAATTACTATACATTAAACAGAAATGAGCTTTATGTGTGAATCACTTTATTTTCATAGAAGAGTAACCATTGCATTTCTTTACAATTGCATAATTGACAAAATTAAGTGAAAATCATTATTTTTCATAATTAGAATACTCTACAGTATTATACATCTCAAAGGCTCTGTTGAGATTACAGTGTCAGTTCCATCCAACCAGTGGTGTAGTGGTCGTTGTTGAGGTGCATGTACATCTAGGTCAACTTTACCAAGGAGGCAGCGGGTAAACTCTTTGGCTGTACTGTAAAGTGATGGAGAAAGAGGCGAGTGCATCCCATATACCTGCAATAACCTCCACCACACCACAACTATTTCTGAGAAAGGGAATTAGTCATTGTAATGAAATAACAGATCACTGAATTATGATTGTTGTCAGGATGAGCTTTATAACAGGTTTAGCAGTATTAATCTTACTTGATTTTTTTTTTTTTTAAGCGTTTCTCTTGAATGGCCAAGCATTGACACACGCATGACTGTAGACAGAGAGAGCTGGTAGGAAGGTCGGTCATCTGATTGGTTGGCTGAGCAGCTCAGAGCTTGGCATGGTCCTTCAGGATGACCTCCAGCTTCTGAGTCAGCATGATGTCCCCTCTAACTTTCAGCTTGCCAGCAAAGAATGCCTAGAAAGGTGATAGAAAAACTCAGCGCTGAGGGGTGCAGCAGAGAAGTCTCTTTACTGGGCGAGCTGAACAGCTGATGATACGCGGCGCTCAGCTAGAATCATTTATGGGACGATGGCTACGACGACCCCGGGTGACAGTTCACATCGTCCTTTTGTGACTTCTACAACTTATCTTCCTCCAGCTGCTCCTTTCATCATCGGCGAGGCTGGAAAAACACCCCGCCTGAGGGACCTTCAACACCACGGCCAGTTGAGGCTCTTTGTAAAGAGCTGACACACACACACACACTGACCTCAGATCAATATCAAGCTCTCCAGGAAGTATATAAATTGTGTACAGTGATGATCACTCCCTCTGACAGATGAGGTACTACAGACACAAGAGGTAGCGGAGATTGATTACCCGCACCGAGTGCTTTCTGAACTTGCTTTGATGGATCATTTTATTTCCTTCTTTTCTGACATGATGAGATTTCAGAGAGAAGTCATTACAGATCTACGGGTTATAATTAAAATGTCGGAAAAAGACAGGATTTAAAATATGAGGCTCCATTTTTCACCAGAAAAACATTTCAGCATCCATTTTGTGAAACTTAAACGAAGACGCTCCCCTTGTGAGCATCAATGTAAAGCAGGAGGGACTTGCGTTTACAGCATGTAAAAAACAGATTAATTATGACTGAATAGGTTTGACTATATGTGTTTTACCGTCTGAGGGTTGAGTCTCCCCTGCACCACCTCCATGAAGTCTTCATCTGACAGGGTGATGGTCACATCCGCCTTCCCACTGGAGGGGCCTTTGTGCAAGGAGCCGCTGCCGTTCTTCAGATCAATGGCTGGAGGGAAAAAGAAAAAAAAGAAGCAAAAGTAGAAGATGGAATACATCATAAACACGTGATTAGCGTCGAGCCGGGCTGGTTGGCTTTGCTTTCACAACTCACTCGCATATGGAGTTATTATTCTGTCTTTGGTGGCGATGTAGCCCAAGTTTGAACTGCTTATTTGACAACTTGTTAGCAAAATGTCAATCTGGGTCAAATTAACTTGTCAACTTAACAGCTCACACTGATACTCAAGCCTTTGTTTCATGGGCCAGTCGGAGTGAATCATGTTTTCAGACTGATTTCTGAGTGTTGACACCATAGAATCAGTCCTGAGCCTCCACATCTTATTATTATGGGGAATTAAATGTGTGAAACAGGAATCAAGTCAGTCAAGGTGACCGGGGAAAGCACTCCATCATTCTTTGTCGGATACGTTTAACAGGCAAATAACACGCAAAGCTAAATACTTATCCATATTAATATCGCTGCAGTGTTCTCTTGCTTTTATCACATAAACCTTTTATCATATTATGTATAGTATCAGCACTTTTAATATCTGTAATTGTCTTCATTATTTTACTGTGCTTTATTGCGCGTGTGTGTTTTTTATGCTGCCTTACTGCAAAAGAAATGTCCTTTGTTGGACAAGACAGATCTGAACCGATAAGTTTCCCCACAATGAACCGGTGTGTGTTTAATATGTGTGTACAGCATTCAGTACACTTACTCCACTGTGCAGCGTTCCTGTTGTCTTTGGTGATCTCCCAGGCGACCACGGCGTTCACCTTCTTGACCAACTCTGAGCCCGAGTCTTCAATACGACGGCCGATCTCTGCGAACACCAGCTCGCTCTGCAGGGCCCCCGGCTGCACAAAGTTGGAAAGAACAGAAACACTATATATAAATAATATAAATATAAACACCATATGCACAAAATAATTGTATCGAAATGATCTACGGAACTACAGGGAAAGGAGCTTTAATGAATGAATGCTATAAAAAGACAAGAGAAATGGAGCAGTCTCAGACTGACGTACTGGAGTGAGGTTTTCTGGAGAAGCCTCTGATCCGTGTAGATCCACATAGGCCCCCGCTAGCACAACGGAGTCAGTCTCCTTCACCTGGACCAAAGGGAAGAGCTCATCAGAAAGACACACGCAGAACATCATCAACAAACCTGATCCGAAACACTGACTTTACACTGGAGGTGAATCCTGTTGCCTTCCTTCCACATCTCGGTCTGTAGCGACTGACCCGGCATCACCGGCTTTGCAAAGCGAACCTGAGAGAGAGGCGGGGGGGTTAAGAGAGGGCTGGTTGAGTCGATGGATCTGTAATTAGATTATTTTATAGCATTTAACCAGAAGTAATGAATGTTATATGATTTATCGAGCACTGAAGCCTCTCGAGTTACTCGAAGAACAAACCCGTTTATACATGTAGTTCTTGCACGAGGCCCAGTGACTCAAACTGTATGACGGGGTTTAAATCACGAGCAACGCTGACCTTCATAGCCTTGAATCTGGAGGGCTCGTTGTTGGCAAACTGCTTGAGGACGTGTCTCGCAGCGAAGCCAAACGAGCACAAGCCGTGCAGGATGGGAGCCTTGAAGCCTGGGCAAAGAGCATTTTTGAGTATAGCATGTTTATGCATTAATGAGATCACAATACATAACTTAAGACATTTTGATGATGACGACGAAAAACAGTCTGCACGACTCTCACCTCCCATGGCAGCAAAGCTGGGGTCTATATGAAGAGGGTTCCAGTCTCCACTCAAACGGTACAAGGCCGCCTGGAACCGCGGGGGAAACACGTATTGTTTAGATCCATCTCTAATTCATAAACCTCTGAACCTTTCATACACAGATGTGGGATTAAATTTAATTATCATGGAGATACCTAAAATAAGAATGTCTTTGAAGTGATACAGTTGCAGTCATTTTAATTGCTCAAGGG